AACTATTTATATATCTTATATATCTATATATATTTTACTTTATGATAAGAATCATTTCAAGGACTCCAAAGGCAACCCCTCTATAGTGGCTTTTCAATATTATGTTATGAAGAAGGAAATTTGAAGGTCGCTTATGCTTTTAGTAAAAATCTACTACAGTTCGAATTATAAAAGTGGTTCGCCAACGAATATTGGAAGATCCATTCCACTATTCATATGTTATTCATCATTCAAAATATCTCAGTCTGTCATAGGAAGAAAGACTGTAACTTACATCACATGCACACATCAATGGAATGAACTAATGTTCATGTTGCCACTCGGAGCAGGCAGGTGCTCTCTTACACGATCGCTGACCAACTTTTTTCATAAAGGCGTTGGTTGGCATGTACATCAATTAGCGATTTTTTGCCGTTTCGGTACCACATTCCTCACAAGAACCCTAGTATAGAAGAGTAGAGACTAAATTCATTACAAAGGCGTAATTACCCATTTTTTATCACTGTTGATGCCTAATTAAATATATGTATAAATATAATTTATAAATTCTTTGCTTATGGAACTATTTTTTGTATTCTTTAACTGTATGATCCCTTTCGATCATAAATCATTATTCATATTTATATCTCTTAGTTTCGGTTTGTGTTGATTGAGGATATCACTTTCTTCATTTTTTCTTCATGCTTTACCTGTTTTTTCTTTATGATCCTGTTTTTGTGATCAGTGGTGTCATTCCTATTGATCTACAGGCCTATGAACGGAGGTTACGCTGCGAGCAGAGATCAGCAAATAATTCAACCGACATCAACATATGAAAGAAGAAGCCTTCCTGACCTTGCAACGACGATGGATCACTGATTTCATTACTATGTCACACAGTTCGTTTTTGGTCACATATATATTCGAATATTTTCGAAAATATCTATATGTAATGAAAAAAGCAGTGCAACCTAAATGATTATACTGCCAAACCGACGGAGAAAATGCTGAGCATTAATTATTAAACTGTGACAGATGGCATGGAGAACTTAACTAAAAGGGAAAATATGGCACTTCACTGTCGAGAATATCATTGGAGTGACCGAATGAAGGTATGATCGAATAATTAGAATAAAATCGTGACATTCATCGAATATGTGCTCTGGAAACGAAATAAGACCTAGACGCAAACTGAAATTAAGCGAAACGTAATCTGGAGACCTTAGAAATCAGAACTAGAGTGAGAGCCTGGACACATATTCTACAATAAACATATAGCATATATAGCTAAAAAATGCATCTTACCTGAAAAAAAGAAATGTCAAAATATTAATAAAGTATTAATAAATATTTTCAGTGAAATAACATCAATATCCTTTCGAAAAGAAAATCTGTTAGATAAAAGAGATTAAATGAAGAAATATCTTTATAAAGCTCAATTAAGTAATTTGATTTTTTTTTAGATATTATTTATTTACCTTATTTTTATTATCATTAATAATTATTATTAATATTGTAATTATTATACAATAATTTTATTATTTTATTTAAAGCTAACATTATTTTTTAATTAAATCTATTTTAAAATTATAAAGCACAAACAAAAACTGTTAATTACTTCGAAAATATGTACAACTTTAAACAACAGATGGCGCTAAAACATGTTTGCCAAGTATTCAAGTCACAAACCATATTGTTAAGTTCTCTTACTTTTTCACCCTGTGAAAGTGATTATGAATCGCAACACATATACACAATTATTTGTTTAAATTGTAACTTTTTGTGAGTAATAACTAGTGTTTTAATTAAAATATTTTCGTATTAAGTGATTATTTTATAAGTTGCAATTTTATTTGGTAGTACTCTTTGTTTCTCATTTTCCAAATATTTGCACAAAATTTTTAATATGGCAACATTGCAATGAATAAAGAAAATAAATAAATACAAATTTAACACCAAAATAAACATAAAATATATAAAAATAATAATACGAATAAAATTTAAAATTATCATATTTGTACAAATATCTTCATCTAGTTCTGTGATTAAATCTGCTTGCCAATTAATAGAATACGACGCTAAGGATAATGGATTTGTGCAGTTTAACAACTATTTTCCCTATATATTTCTAAACGCATTTATTTAGAGTATGAAACCATTTTTATTTTATTATTCATATATATGTAAATTAAAAAATTTTCTACTTTTTAGTTCACACAATATCATATATACAATAGCACGATGTGTAATGTAAATACCAGTGGTAATCCGTCTTACAAAACAGACACGTAACGTACGCTACGATGCCGTTGTCACAAAAATGATATTTATTTAAATTCTGAGTGATTTTTTAATGTCCTAGATCGAACATTTAAGAATTACTTAGCGTAACTGTTAAAGTAACCCTAAGTATTAATCTCACTGCCATACTTTAGTTAGGTACGGCACAGTAGCTGCTTTATGGAAGACTAAGTAATGATACTAAGGCTGAATATAGTACCAATATTAAATAATAATATATTACAGTGTAGTAATATAGTAACTCTTATACCGTAAATAAAATACTTGCTTTGTCATTTTCAAATTTTACATGTAAATATTACATTTTTGTTAATGTTTTTTTTATCAAAAGATATACTTTGCTTTATACTTTATACAAAAAATGTTGATATAAAAACTTAAAATATCTAAATAATATTTAAATTCATACTTAAATGAATGGCTCTGTAAGAACTTCACCATGATTAATTCCATAATGCATACTACCGTCGCGCACATACGCCCAACCCATGCGCTTTGAATTCCAATCTATGCCAACATTACCTTTAGCATCGATAGTAATAGCTCCACAGCCACCAAGTACTCGCTTTTTCATATCGCTTAACACTTCTGATGTAGCTTCCTGTGCGCTCTTCCCTTGTAATTCTATTTTCTGTATGATTCTTTGAGCTAAATTAAAACGCATTATAGCTTCACCGTAGCCAGTTGTTGAAACACCTCCATATAAACTATCGGCATATGTACCACAACCCAATAGCGGTGTATCACCAATACGTCCCGCTACTTTACCTGTAATTCCACCAGTCGACGTGGCTGCTGCTATATTTCCTTCGCTATCAATCGCAACAGCACCTACTGTGCCAGGCTCTCCAAATGTATTCAACTCATTGACTACGGGTAATTCTGTTGGTGCGTTTGCTAAATTTTCATCAGTTTTGCTTAATTTTTTAAATTCAGCTAACGCTAAACGTGCTTGTGGTGTAACCAAAGTGCCCGACAAAACTTCATTGAAACCATGTTTTTTGGCAAATATTTGTGCGCTTTCACCACCGAGAAAAGTATGACCACTTTTTTCCATTACACATCGTGCCACCGATATTGGATGCAATAAATCATGCAGCAATGTAACGCAACCTGCACGTAATTTACTGCCTTCCATTATGCTCGCCTCTAGTTCTACATTACCTTCAATATTGAGACATGACCCAAAACCGGCATTGAAGTTCTCATCCGCTTCCAATGCTCGTACGGCCGCTTCTACTGCGTCAAGAGCATTTGTACTAGGCGATGCTGCCTCTTTCAATAGTTGAGGCATCGCTAAACGCAGCGCAATTTTCATACCTTTTAGTTTGCCGAGAACACGGTCATCACTAATGTCACCAGCGCCACCGTGTACTATGAGTACAGGATTAACCATCTTTGAGATATGTTTTAAATTTTTCTGGTCTCTGAAGTAATTTTTTGAAATTAAAAAGCAAAGTTCTTTACTTCTTATCAGCATCAACAGTTTATGACTTGTTTGTTTGTTTTGTTATCAAAAGAAGAAAAAAAAACAAGAAAAAAAATGCACTTTTCAGGGTTGCATTTGTATAATTTAAAATATTGACGTACGTATAAAGCAATGACACTCGTACCTCAACATGCTGTGGGGAATTTGAAGCGCAGCGATTTTTAATGACTTAATATATATATGAACTGAATAATACAAACTGAATAAAAGTTTAAATTTATTATCATAAATTATGTTGGTTCTATCTGTATCATGAAATATAAGGTATTATAATTAAATATATATATATATGAATAAAAATATTAGTGGTTCATGTGAAGATAAATACATATTATGATTTCATTAAGAATGCAGATATTTCTTGCATTGAGACTATTAACTCCTCTTTAATTTATATATGTACAGAAATTAATTTTAGCTCTATCATTAGATATTTATTGTCATTGATTAGTATTCACCACTAGTCAACTCGATCAGTTAGTTGTATTTTATTTGACTCTGTTAAATTGTTAAAGCACATATAAAATAATATATCTACAATCATGCACACATCCACTATGTCAAATTTTTATTCGATTGTGAGTGGAACTTGGAAAACTTTCCCATAAGCTTCTTTTGAGTGGCAATCTCTCATTCTCATCTTTGCAAAAGCCCATTATTCATACACCATATACTTAATAATTGCCTTACTTGACACTTGCTCAACAAATTTTACCTACCAGAATATAAGGAAAACATAATTTATTATAATACATTATATAAAAATGTGTCAAAATCTGCAAGTTAGTCAATTGTAATAGTTCAGCTATAAGCCTTGGCACCTATCGCTCGATTTCTTTCTTTAGTAATTATAATAAATAAAAATGATTATTTTAATCAATCAGATAATAATGTGTTATTAATTATAAATATTACGATTCAAATCTATATACCTTTATCACAATTGCATACAACCATCATATAGCTCATATGCATATAGCTCATATGTAGCAAATCACCACAAGCATTTTTCAATGGTAAAAAAAAAACTAAAACTGGTAATAATTTTATAACGAGTTTAAGTAGCACTAGTAGAAAAAAAAAATAATAAACTAGTAATTATCTATTCTAGTAATGCTGAAAGTAACTTGCAATTATTTCAATTAATTTAATTTGTTAATAAAGAAAATAAATGTTTTTAAAATAATAATAAAAAATTTATTTAAGGTACTATGGTATAAAACATATATAACTAAATGTACATATATATAAAATTTTATGTGTAGATATAAAATATACCACATTATCTCTCCTAAATATCATGGAATGTTTGTGGCTTAAATGGCAATTATATGGCCTTTTAAATTACTCTTAAATTATCTATATTACAATTTGGGATAAATTATTTATCTTATCTGGTGACAATAATTATATATTGCAATAATAACTAAATATATACATATCTCACTGCTTTAAACAACATTAGATGAAACATTAGATAACAAAGACTAAAATAACTATAGAATTTAATATATTTACATGAAGGTAGAATTATTCTTAAATTGATATAGCAATAATTACTATTACAGAAGTCCTGAGATAGAAGTTTACAATGACTTAAACAAGCACTTTTTGAGAAAGTTAGTTTTGTTCCTATTTCTAATGTTGCATTTTATTCTTTGCTTGTAACTGCACTTTACTACCCACACGTCTGTGATCATAGAAGGGTTCAGGTATACCATCGCGTACGCCTATTGCTGTTACAGCAGCAAAGCCAGTTCCAGCTCCTAAAACATTTAAGTCGTGGCCCACTTTTCGTAAGTAGTTTTGTACACTTTGAGGTACTTTAGATTCAGTATCTATAACCATTGGAGCCAGTTGATGATGTATACGTCCGCCATCTATAGCTTCAGACAATGTATCATTGAAGATAAGATATTTAATGATAGCCTAAAAAATATAAGTAAGAGTAGAGCAGTGAAGTTATGAACCTTACTAAGATTTTTATCTTACCGATACGACAGATGTGGTAATTTTAGTGCCACCAGCTGCACCAACCAGCATACGCACATTACCATTTTTATCCAGTACAATAGCTGGACACATAGATGACATAGGTCGTTTACCGGGCTTAATGTAATTTGCTGGAGATGCCGGAACACCAAAACTATTTATTACGCCCGGTGTAGAGAAATCATCCATTTCATCATTCAAAATTATACCAGTACGTTTTGAAGCTACTTTTGAACCAAAACTGTAAAAATTGTTCGGTTAATTTATAAAATTATTTAGTATTTGAAGTTATTTACTAGTTATTAACAGTACTCGTTATAGTTACTGCATCACCGTTTGGCGCTAAGACAGCCATATTTGCAGTGCCATGATCTTCCTCTACTGTGAAGTTCGCACCGTAGTATGCATAATCATTAAAAGTTTTGTCATCCAAAATTAGAGAACGAATTTCTGCAGCGAAATCGTGACTTAATAAATTAATCAAGGTTTCGTTTATTGTCTGACTCATTTCCGATTCGTTCTGTAAATCACCCAAATTGGACCTTTGCCCATAGGCATGCTTGAACGTTTCGATCACACGTTGCCAGTAAATATCATGGTCTTCTGTATAACGTTCACTGAGCACATTAAGCATAAAAGCAATTAATGGACCACTGGATGGTAGTGGAGTTGTGTATAATGTATAGCCACCAGTTATATTTGCTACCACATGGTGAGTATCTTCCCAGCTAACTCTGAAAAACAAATTAGTTTAGTAATTTAGTATATTATTTATTTGGATACACTGGAAAAAAACACATTTTATTTTATTTTTTGAAAAATAATAACTTAATTATTTAAAAATTCCATTATTTTACATTGACGTTGTGAGAACATTTGAGGTTATTCAACATATAAATTTTTGATAGTAAAGAGAGTAAAAATCGAAACAATTCTACTAATGTGTCTAAAATTGATGATGTTATGTCGTTCCAACAGCTTTGTTGAATGGTGAACTCATTGGAGGTTTACCATTTTTCTCCAATAATAATCGGAGGTGAATAAGAGCTGTAATAAGCAACACTTAATAGTGGTAAGGTAGTGGTTTCAGAGAGTAAAATTACCCGCAGTGGAAACTACATGTTTACTATAGTTTTAAGCTGTGATTGTAAGGTGGTGAAGAAATTTTTTGAGATTTACTAAACATATCTCTAAAAGAAGAGAAAGATTTTGAAAAGAAAGAAGAAAAAAAACCTATGCAACTTTTTTCTTATGGTTATTTTGAAGTTTAAGATTCTATTTTTCCTATAGTTTTCTATAGTTTATAATAAAATCTATTGTCTCGTATATTTCTTTTGAAAGTATGAAAGAGGGAGAGAGTTAGAACTTTTCATTTTTCTGATATTTATGAAATTTCAAGGTATATAATATTAAAAGATACAATGTAGAGAGTGAGAGAGTGGAGAGAAAGAGTATCAACAAATAATTCGTTATTAAGTTCCTAAATATTATTATTTATGAGTGTAACTTACTTGTAATTTTTCAAATCGTCTTCTGTTATAATACCACCTAATTCTTGGATATCCTCCGCAAACATTTTACCAATTTCACCTCCATCATACATTGTACCCACGCCATCATTAGCAATGGTGTTTAAGGTCTCGCCAAGTTTTGTACGCTTCATGGTATCACCTTCTACGTACAATGAACCATCTGGCTTCACGAATATTTCGGACATTGAGGGTTCATTTCGTATTTCTGTTTCTTTTGATGCTAGTGCAGCTGCTAGATATTTAGAAACGTAGTGTCCTTCTAAGCATAGTTTTATTGTTGGTTGGAATAGTGTCTTCCATGGCAAGCGACCATATTTCTTATGCAGTTCCCAGTAGCCCAGCAGTTCACCGGGCACAGCGCCAGCACGCGCCCCTTAGAACAAAAATATAATTAATTTAATAATCGCACTTATTATGTTAAAGGCGCATTATACAAATTAAGCTAATCATTTCAGAAATTGGGTATCATAAAACTGAGCTATTTTAGTTAATAATAAGTTATAAACATTAATGTGTAAAATAATAAAGATGCAAGATAAAATATTTTTGAAGTTGATTGTATTTCGTAATAATAAGAAATGTGCCATTAAAAACAAATTAAGATAACTTAATAATGTGTGAAAAAAGTTAATAGTATTTATTTCGCTGTGGACAGCTGTTGTTGTTGTGTCGGCATAACTAAACGACTATTGCGAAACATGCAAAACCTAGGGTTCTCTTAGCTTTAATGGTTTGAAATATAAATTTCTGAATATATAATAGATAGATAGATCATTTCCGCACTGGGACTATAATCTAATAGGAGACAATTAGTATATCTAATCAGAATATCGCTCGTTCCTCATATCAGACATATATTAGACATATATATATTAGTTATCAGAAGTTATGGTACGAAACATACCTGTAACAGCAGTTTGTCCTAAAAACATATCCTTATGTGCGGCTGCAGGTGCAGATTCTCGAGCTATTAATGTCTCAATTTTTCTGGAAGATTTTTGATAGACCGTTGCTACGAAACCACCACCAATTCCCATGCTATGTGGTAACAATGCACCTTCACAGAGTAGCGTCGCTATGGCTGCATCCACTGCCGAGCCACCATCATCGAGCATATGACTACATTCATTTTAATTTTTATATTCATTTTTTGTATATATGCATACATTTTTTTTCAGTCACATACCTGCCAACTTCTGCACAGCCTCTGCCATTTGACACAACTGCAGCTACAATTAGTCCTTCTTTATTCTTGCTCTTTAGACCAAATACCAGACCTAATGTTAGTGCGGCTACCAAAATAGCAGCGATGACAACTATTATCACAAACTTTTTATTACAAACCAATCTATCAATGAAAATAAACATATGTATAATAAATAAATCTATTATTGATCTGTAGGGTTTTTAAAAATAAGGCCTTATAGTATTGCCAATATAGATGTAAAATCAAAAGTCTGCAAACATTCGTAGAAGTTGAAATGAAGTGTTTGGTACGTAAACAAAAGCCGGCAGTTCAATGTCTTATTAAGCTTATTATTTCTCGGAAAACTGGAACATCATTAGGTATAAGTGATGGCAGATAGTTCTACATGTTATGGAATATATCCAACGATAACGTGGATGTAGCCCTGGCGGCCTCAACAAAAGTTGGTGGGAATATCTTACCATATCTTATGTACTATATACCGTATCTTATGTACTATATACCTTAGATTTGGGCTTACCATAATAGTATTTGTTCTAGAAGTTAAAGGAATCATGCGTGAACAGCATATTCCCTCTCTACAACAACATCGTAATAAAGTTACTTAACACTCTCATTAGTTTGATAGTAGAGCTGATTCACTCTGAAGTCCGTGCAAGACATTGATTTAAAATTTAGATTTAATAGGGTTTTTATACTATAATAATTGCAATTACTATATATTTTAAAGAGCTGGATTTTAGTTTCTCAAGTTTAAGTGAGTTCAATACAGAAGTTATCGAATCGGTACAAATATTGGTACAAATATAAATGTCTTATTATTACCAAATTTTAAAACACTTAATTGCTATTGAAACCATTGTTTAATATAATATTAGAATCCGTAAATCAAAAAAGACTTATGTATACTGGCTTTATAAATATTTTTATGGTTAGCCATAAAGATAAATATAATGGAAAAACTTGTGCCATTGAATGAATAAAAGCTTATCAGGTATTTTATACTTCCCATACTTTCGATTGACTTTTTATAATGCTATAAATAATATATTGGACTTTTCCTAGAATAGTTCTAATACGTAAATAAGAAAAATATATTAACAGTTTCAAAGTCAAAAATTAGAACCAGGTATGGTTGATTTTTGATATGATAATGCGATATTTTAATCATATATACTCCATACTTATATCTCTTAGATTCCACTAATACACAATAGGTGGTTATCTCCGCACTTGAGATAATGGTCACTCAGACCCTAGGATCTGGGGCCATTTCGATAGAAGAGTAAAGCTTAAAAGAACGTTGATTACAAGTGAAAATAGGGTAAAGCTCAGTATATTCGTTATATAGTGCAATCTCATTTTATTCTAACCGATGTAGCAAATACTGCACTATATTTGATCGTTCATAATATTTATGAATAAAACAAAAAAATTACATTAAAAAGGCCAGTGACGTCTAATTAAATTTGCACACCTTATCATAAACGATTACATTTTCAACACGTCACACTCAATAGTTTTCAGACAATTCATGTCTAGATCAGATATAAAACGTGTGTACACCGCACATACAATAATTGCTTCGGTAGAATCAGATAAAGCAATTATAGTGCGAATATTTTTCTCACTTTTCATATAATTATTGATTGTAAATCAATTGTACATGACTTTTAACTTTAAAAGCGAGTCATTAGAAGTGTGCGGTCGTTCCAGATCGTACGAATTTAATACGTGATAGATTAATAGTATTTTTGGGTATTACAGTTGAAGTGTCCATACCATTAACAAGTTATGCAGTTCTTATTTATATAAAAAAACTAATCAGTAATGTTCTATATTTAAATATATTTAATATTCTCAAGTGTTGATATTGGTAAGTAGAACCGCTATTATTCACTAGGACCTATATAGGAATATCAAATGTGCTCGTACAAGGGTTCTACTTTTATTGTAAAAATGCAGAGTGGAGCGCAGATAAAATAATTTATTATCAATTTTCTTTTATACTACAAAAGAAATATCTTCAATGTTATAATAACAGTTCAATTAAAATTTAAAAAAGGTTAGGTTATTATGGTGACGTTGAATTTAGGTCAGATGAGCTATTGCGTTGCCGCATACAACTTGAAGGACTTAAAACCATTTCGAATCATTAATGAAGCCCAAGATGCTATGAAAATAAAGTCTCATCAAAAGTAATTGTAAAAGGAATATTCAATCTTCGACATTGAATAATCAATAAACAGATTATAAGACTTAGGTATAGGAATAAACGGGGTACTAGTTCCCAACCGAGGGGACCATGATTGATCTTTTGTGCTGCAACAGACCCTAACCGAACAGAAGACATTCCGCCTTCCGAATGAAAGCCAGAATGTCAGCGGTTGAGGACCTCCTAATGTCAGAAATTGACAGTAGTTCTTAACCTAATCAGTTCTCACCAGTGAGTACAGTTGCCAGTATATCGCTAATCCTTATCAACTTGTATATAACTATTTTATATCAGTAAAGTTTTCAAATACTTGAAATTTACATATACTTGAGGAAATATCAAGTTCTCTAATAGCTACATTGCAACGATATCGGCACCTCTTCCATCGTCTCTCACGTTCGCCTCCACTACTAAAGATATCGAAAAATTGTATATAGAAAGTGAAATCACATCATTTTCAGTAAACTGATGATAGGTTTATCACTCTCTTAAATGATGAAACATAGTTTTTCAATTGAATTAAGATTATTGTACGTAATATTGTTAAAAGTCATAACGAGAAGGTATCGGGAGTTTCAGATACAATATTGCATTATATTTACAAGGTGTTTTTTTTAATAATAGTGGATTGCTTCAAGGTCGCTTTGGTAATCAGTTGTGAAATATTTTAACTGATTTAAAAGAATAATAAATCCGTTATAGAAAACAAAGTGCATTGGTTTAATTTTTGAATTTTGGAGTCTCCACTTTGATTAAACGTTTTATCAGCCGTTATCAGTTTCTAAAATGACGTCAACAAAAATTTCATTTACTCATATATGTTTATTATTATTTATTAGTGTAATGTGATGTTAAAATTCCAAAATTAATTTTTAATAACAATTACTTTATCTTTTGATGTTTCTGTTGTTCTTGATAAAAACTCCTCATCGGTATGTGAACTATTGTAAGAATTTATTTGGAGATATTTCCATTATTTCCATTGACAAAAATTTTTAATTAGTGTTATTGATATATAATTACTAATTTAGTATGTAATTAAGAATACGTGTCTAAAAAAAATATTGCTTTTTTTGAAATAACCACGCAAACTTTTATTTTTGGTCATATCAAGTTAATGAGGCATTCACTTATAATAAGTAATCGCTTCATTTAGGAAGAATAATACTAATGACTAATTTAAATACACAAATACCATATATATATTTTTAAAACTTTTTCAAAACTCAATTCTAATTATTGTACTGATATATAGGTATAACATTAGCATGCTGTTATGAAGCAAGAGCATATAAAAGTGCTAATAGTTACCCTATATTACTTTGTCCACTACCAATCTGATTTGTTCTCAAAATACCGAAAACATATTCCTCCTTAATAAAACATAATATTGGTTGTTGGTAAGTCTGTGTAACTACCTCCCTCGGTGAAGGGGTTACAATATTCCCGAGGTAAGGTATGCCTGTCCTAAGAGGCGACTGAAATACCGGTACCACGCCGACACTTGTGTTAGAAGTGTGCATGGTAGTAAGTGAGATCTACATTTGCGACACCTGACCAGAAGTGAATATCTGGTACTACAGGGATCAGTGGGCCCGGAGCTTCGGCTGTGCTGATCAGTTGAGGTTAGACTCATAGTGGCTGTGGTTAATACCCAAACTTACGCGGGGAAAATGTTCAGTTTTGGTTCACATTCGGCGTAGAGTTGCGTATTCACCACCGGTTGCTACAACCCACATTGTAGCAGAGGTTTTAGATAGGCCTCTTATCGTACTAAGATGGAAGTTATATCTAACACATATATCTTCATTGGTATCGGCGGAATTACTAAGGAGATTCCAATGGGGCGTTGACTGACTGAGGTGTCATATGTCGTCATAAAATTTTTTTTAAAATGTTGTGAGTATAGAATTTAAACTCATTTAAAGATAATATTTGTGTCTTATTTTAATATATATTTAAATATAATTATTAATAGCTTATACAAAATTATTGTCATTATCAAATCAATTGTACAATCTAATCTTGGGGAATTTAATAAGTAAACAAATTTATTGCTCATTACTTTTTATAAGTGATATAAGGATTAACTTGTCAAACAATGTATTGAAATCTTAATTGATACTGGATTCAACAATAATAAATAAAACAAATGTTTGTTATGAAAATACTATAATTTAAAATTTTATATATACAAACATTTAATTATTCTATTCCATATATCTTGATGATTTAGTATCTTCACGAATTTAATGAATTCCTATCGTCTGTGCCAAAGACGAATTTAGTTAACTAAGCACTTAACAATGGATTTAGTACTGACAA